GAATGGTATGTGTGTGTGTGTGTGAGTGAATGTGTCTGCATGCCTGGGAGTCCACGTATGTTCCACAGAGTGTGTCACCTCTCTACTGCATTTGCCTAGGCCCTGTGGCCTGCCCTGCAAGGGCCACTGACCTGTCACTGTCATACCCAAGCAGCATACTTAATCAGGAGAAGAAAGTGGAGTCCTCGGTGCTCCCAAGGTAGACAGTAGTTGTAGTGCAAGCTGCCCGGCTGGCTGTCCCACTCTGGTTGGGGCTGATTAGAGATGTGGAATGGAAGGTCAGGCCTAAGTTTTGTTGGATTCTCACAGGCTTGCTGTCCTCACAGATCTCTTTTCTCTACCACCTCAGGAGGGCCCCACTTGTTTCCGGGTTCCCTATTTGTGTTGGGGAGGGGAAGAAAATAGGAACAGGACTCGGGTTTAATGAGGACTCACTTTATTCTAGGCCCTTTATGTTTTACATAATATCTTTCTAAACTACACAGAGCCTTCAAGAACTGAGGCAGAGAGTTTTAGTTACTTAGCCAAGGTCCCACAGCAAGCAAGGGGCACAGCCAGACTCGAAGTCAAGCCTAGATTTCCCTTCCAGACTTCTACCAGACACTCCTGCTCCAGATACTGAGCTTTCCCCCGCCTTTCTCTCCTCTTTGGCTATCCAATTTGAGGTCAAAATCCTTCCTCATCCCAGGAAATGAAACCAAATCAGTGCTGACAGGAATGGATCCAAAAGAGTCCGCCAACTTTGGAAAACACCAGCAGGGCTGCCATCAGCCCCATTTTTTGAGTCCACAGTGTTGCTTGGAACTCCTCTGAAGAAAGAAGACAAAAAAATCTCTTATCTTTGCTTTAACCTGCCAAAGTAGACACAGTCTTCAGGGCTAGGTGCCAAGTCGTGGGCACCATGCAGTCAGAGATCCTGGCACACATCTGGTACCTGCAGCAGACAACTGTTTGAAGAATCTTCCTTCCAAAGGAAATTATGAGGGTGGTGAGGACACCAGAGTGGGATTAGAACTCTGTTCCTAGCAAGAAGGATGGGGGTGGTGAGAGAAGATGGCTCTGGGGAGCAGACATTCTAACTTTGAAGGTATGACAGGGGGTAACATGCATGGGTGGGCAGACAAAGAGGATGGTAAGGGGAGGACAGCCTCCCTTTTGTCCTTTGCTCTTTTCCTCTGTTTCTAGCCTCTCAGCCTCAGAACTCATTCTGTGTCCCATTCTCAAAGGCCTGCCACCTGTTAGTTGAAGACCTGATCCAAAAGAAGGGTGCTAGGGGAAGAGGTTGGAAACCTGAAGCTGTTGACAGCTATTAGACAAGAAGAGCCTGCCTACTGGGACATCAATTCAGAAGAACATAGAGCTGAAACGCAGTAAAAATGTCATTTGGGTCCTTAGATCCAGTCATGCCTGAAGCCCCTGCATTTTTTAATGAAGGGAACCAGAAATTTTGTATTTTTGCTTAAATTTCCAATTGGATTACTGTCACTTATAAGAATAACATGAAAAAATCCTAACTGAAATAGCATTGGCTTTTCCAGTATGATTTTCAAGTACAGATTCTCTACAAGAGCCAAGGTAAGATGCAGAGAACTTTAGAATGGAGCTACCTGACATGATAAGTCCAGAACCTAGAAACACTAGAGAAAGAAAGAGCTGGCCAGCCCCCCTCTCTTAGGAGACCTCAACCCCAAGGAGGGGAAAGACATTCAGGTTTGACTTGTGTGCCTAGAGCTCTATAGGGAGCCTCCGGGGGAGCATAGGCCAGACCCACCTCTGAGAGCACAGCAACCCACAAATTTTCCTGAGGTTGTCCCAAGCAATGATGGTAGCTACCTCCTGCCAAGCCTGTGCTATGTGCCTGATGGTGAGATATTTATATATATATATATATATATAAAATTTAATCCTCACAGCAATCCTGAGAGGTAGAGATGTTACTGGCATCATTTTATAGATGAGGAAGTAAATGCTCACAGTGGTGAAGTCACATAGCTAATAAGTGGCAGAGCAGGAATTAATATCTAACATACTGAATCCCAAACCTGTGCTTTTAACAAGTATATTACAGTCTTCCCAAGATGGGCCAATGCTGCAGGGGAATTTGGCTATATGGAAAATTAATAATAATCTTTTCTGTTGGTGCATCTTTGGAGAGTTTACAAAGCACAACTGTATATGCAATCTCACTGCATCTTTTTTTCCAGATATGGAAACTGAGGCCCAAGAGTAGGGAATGACTTGCTCAGTCATTTGGAGAAACATTCAGAGGCAATCCTCCTCAAACTGAGCAGCCAGTTTGTATTCTGCAGAAACTCACAATGTGAGTACAATGGGGTGCTGGCCTCACCACATCAACCCAGGCTTAAAGGCAGTGATGGTATCAATCTGGCCAATGAAAGTCTCTGACAGGGAGGTGGGAGACCAACTCTTATTGTGGCCACATATCCAATTGCAGATCACAAATCCCACTACAGCAAAGAGCTCTGAATTCACAAAAAGATTCCCAGTCCCAGCAAGTCCCCATTTATTTTTCAGCAACACTTGATATGGCCAAATTCCAGTTCAACAAGAAAGATTCAGCTTCCTGGCATTCCCAGGGGGATCCAGCTATGAAAGGAGCCCCTTTCTTCTGCAGGGACATCCTCAGGAAAAAAAAAAATAGATTGCAGGACTGAGCTGAGCTGCCTCAGGGATTCCAACTCCTCCCCCAGAGCTTCTACCAGGTAGTTGTCTGGGCCCAAACCACAGAGGCCCTCACTATCGGTCCTGTCCTGAAGCTTTGCCAAGCCCAGAGGCACCTGTTCTAAATAGACAAGGCAAAGCCGTCCCGACATTCCCTGGGCATCCTGTGCCTAGAGAAATGACCAGGTAGGGATCAGGCAATGGGAAAGAAGAAGCCAGGGCAGCCACTGTTGTTCATCATTGGATGTGTACCACGGGACTGGAAGGTGAGCAGGAATCCCACCCCGCTTCTCAAGATCCTGCCCTTTGCTTGTGGGGAAGAATAGAGGAGGAATCTACCTCTGGGGCTTCTCTGAAGGCAGGTGAGTGGCCTTCTGGATTTGTTTCCCCACAAGCGATTTGTGTTTTCAGAAACTAAGGCAAATGTTGAAGATAGATCAGAAGGAAAGAAGAAGTTCATTATGTCAAACCCAGTCCTTCCAGGTCTGGGAAGCCTGGCACATGTTCTAAGGGTAGCTCTAAGGGCAGCTCTGACACTTGCTTTCCTTGGGCACAACCTTAACTTTTTGCCATACTTATTCTAATATTTATTGAGAGGCTTTTATGAATTAGGGATTCAATGTTAAGCAAAATACAGACTCAGCCACCTTATTGGGGTTTCTAATCAATGGAGGAGACAAATATTAATTAAAAATGAGTTCTCCCATACACACAGAATGAAATATCCAGTAGAAAACATACCTCATAATAAGGAGAATTTACCCTCTTGAAGGTCAGAATCAGCTCTCTTAAAGAAATGATAAAAAAGCTGAAGTCTGGAAGTACAGGCATTTATTTACTAAAGGAGGTAGGAAGAGGTATTCCAAGCAGAAGGAAATTCAAAGGCAGGCAGTTTGGCAAGAGAGAAAATAACTCCTCTAAGAATTGGAATAAATTCATCAAGTAGAAGTGAAGAGTCCAAGGACAAGTGGGCAGACCACACAAGAATATGGGTGTTTATCTCCTGAGCAGTAGAATGTATTTTGAGGTGCTTTTCACAGAGAAGTGAAATGATGGCACCTAAAATTTGAGACGATCACTCTGGGAGCACAGTGAACAATTTTTAAGAAAGGAACTAGGAAATATTCACAGGCCAGTTAGGAGGTCTCAGATGTTTCTCCATAAAAGGAAATACTATACTATTTTATAAGATGTTACCAGGACTCAGTGAAATGCTACATTTTGCTTATTTGTGTACCTGGCTCATGGTAAAGGTTCAATAAGTGTCGTTATTGTTACTTGAATTGTTGGTTTTCTTTAAAGTGCAGATCTTTCTGATTCAGCCTGCTCTTGTGAGATGGGGTGGAGAGAGTAGTTGTGTCGTGCAGGATGGAAACATGGTTTGTACCAAGTTACAACATCAAGTCCAGAACCCTGAATGCCTGAAGGTCCCCACAGAATACCTTGAAAGTATGAATGATTCAGAAGAAAAAGGGGTTTGTATGACCCATTTCCACAACGATGCAGGAGAGATGGGTGAAAGACATCGCAGCCTCGACCATAAGCCCTAGAGTTTGCTGAGAAAAACAAGTGCTTTCTATCGGTGTCAAGAGCAGGTGTGGCGTTCCAATATGTAATGCCCGGAGGCGGGACCTTGTCCACTCCCCAAACCTCAGCAAATCTTAAGGCTTGCAACAGGACCAGCTTCCCTGGCTCGAGCCCGTGGATGCCTGGATCCAGGTAGAAGGTGCCAGGAGGAGGGTCCTGGAAAGGCTGACTCCAGCCCTCCCGCACAGACTGCCCTTTCTCTAGTCACGTGTCCCCGAAGGTGGAGATCGACTAGTAGTTGGAGAAATTCTGAGCTCTCTCAACTTCAGAGTGAGCCACCCCTCTTCCGTGCAGTGGGTGTGGGCTCAGGGCAAGGCACAGAGGTGCGAATCCGAGAAGCCAAGCTGCGGCGCGGGCGCCAGAACCTGGGACATGGCCCAACTGTCGGTGATCCCCGGAACAGCCACAGCGTGGACAGGTGAGCTGGCACCAGGGCGGCGGCTGGGTGAAAGAGGCTGCTGGAGCATTGGGCCCCACAGCCCATCACACTCCAGGGGATGCGAGGCACCCACATGGGAAGGGGGACGGTGGGGGGAAGCGGCTGCGTGGATCCTTGGCCAGCCGGCCGGTTCGCTCCTTGCTTAGTATTCCCGGTGACTGGTAGAACCGAGGTGGGCGGAGAACCCAGGACCCCAAGGAGCCGAGCTCCGGGCGGGGTGATGTGCCAGCCCCGCCCAGCCCCCGCTCATTGGCTGCTTCCCATGACGTCATGCTCGGCTATAAAAGGCGGCGCGCTGTGCTTGCAGTGCTGGAGCAGCTCGAGGCTGAGGGCGCTGGGTGCCGGGAGCCGCGAGCCGCGGGGCCCCACGGCCGCGGGCGCCTCAGCAATGTTTTACTCAGGGCTCCTCACGGAGGGCGGCCGCAAGGAGACCGAAATGCGGGAGGCGGCGTCGCTTCGGCAGCAGCGCCGGATGAAACAGGCCGTGCAGTTCATCCACAAGGACTCCGCTGACCTACTGCCCCTGGATGGCCTCAAGAAGCTGGGCTCGTCCAAGGACACGGTGAGTCCCCACTGCCGCGCCCGCCTTGGGATCCTCGCCGCCGCTCACGCCCCCGCCCTTGCAGCCAGGTCACCTCCGCGCGGCTGGGGGCATGACC